GTGTCAGTTCTAATAATTCTGAGGTTAAGAAAGGATAACTGTTTATTGTTTTCGTGTTCTATGGTAAATTTGATGTTGGGGTGAATGGAATTTATGTGTTTAAAGAAAGTTAGTGTGTGTTCTGAAGAGTTGAAACCAGCAAAAGTGTCATCGACATATCTGTACCAGTATAGTGGGGGATGAAGCACAGAATGTATGGCTTGTGTTTCGATTTTGGTCACGAATATATTGGCAAGAACGGGCGAAACAGGATTGCCCATACTTAAACCGTCTATTTGAAGGAAATGTGCCTAGATACCTCTTCTAAGTTTCACAACAGTTCTGGTCATGTGACTTCTTTGTTCAATCTGTATATATGTATCCATGTCAGTGTAAATTACTTGTACCTGATGATGACAAAACCTTGTCGAAATGTTGTACATTTGCTGTTATGTTAAACTTATATTAAAGTTTTTCTTCATTACCCACTCAAGCCGTCTCCAGCCATTATTATTCATTTAAGAGGTTCTGGAGGTTATGAAAACGAAATATGAAAAATGTAAGATGAAAATAGATATTTTCATTTTTAGTAGCAAAATCACATTTTACTCAGACTGTCTCACTAAAGGCTTCGTAATTCACAGACAAATCTTTACTAAAAAAACTTACATTGAACAAAACAACCCTACTCTAAACCAACACCCTGGGGTGCCTAGATATCTCTTCTAAGTTTCACAACAGTTCCTGTCATGTGACTTCTTTGTTCTATACTGTATATATATATATCCATGTCAGTGTAAATTACTTGTACCTGATGATGACAAAACCTTGTCGAAATGTTGTACATTTGCTGTTATGTTAAACTTATATTAAAGTTTTTCTTCATTACCCATTCAAGACGTCTCCAGCCATTAAAATGTATCTCACTAGGCATCTGGAACATAGGTTGGTCTTGTGAAGTCTGTTTATACTCACCTCAACATTGACACAGCATCCAGTTTTGGCTGCAAACATCCAGTTCAGTCTGAAAACTAGTATTCTATAATTGTGTCAAGCTAGAATTTACAGATAGCAATTATATGCTGTGTTGTAGATGGTATTCTGCTTTATCCTGATATTGAAACAACAGTTTCATTGATTTTGAAGCAGCTTCATTTTACGCTAAGTACATTTTGAGACTCTTGTAGCCAATTTGCAACTGTTTGGTATGATTGGACAGTTTCAATTCATACGATGACTTTAGAAACGAGTGAAACACCCTTGTAGGTTCAATAGTTCATCAAGAATTATTATTCACTTCAAATTGACAGCTGAGACAAGACTGTATGAAATCATTATACAGAAAATAGGTAGAATGACTATGCATTTACATTTTAGATGACATGGCTGATCAACAGATGTCCTATTATGATAATAATGAAATGCAAAATGATTCACGTTATTTCATAAGAGTAGTTTTGCCTTGTAACGGTTATAATATTATAAATTCTCATTATTTCTTAATTGTTTTGTGCATTTAGCATATAGATAAATATATCGTATGTACAAGCGTGAAGTACATACAATTTATAATAAATTTGAAAAAGCTGATACAGAATGTTGTAAATGCAAAAAACAGCTAAGAATATTATTAATTTCAGGAAGTATACAAATTCAATATCACAAAAAATTTCATGAAAGCATACAGAAAATCACAGATGTCAGGAATGGATAAAAAACATTGATAAGCCAAAAGTTTATACAACATGATAAACTCCATAAAAAGCTGCAGACTATGACGTAAAAGTTCACAATTTATAATGTCATGAAGGCACACAGACTATATGTGCTGAGAAAGCCTAAATATGATAAAAAGCAAGGGCATAAACTTTCATTCCTTTTATTAAGCAATGGTTACAATTAAATATCAAATAAAGGTAATTCAACACGAGTTTGATGGAATTTTATGATTTCCTAGAAAAGCAATGAAAAAGGATACAATTTGCTTCAGCTTTTTGCATCTTTGGAGGACCAGGAAGATTTATAATGACAAGCTGAGCAGAATGAGACTTTGTGACAATTACTTCATTTAATTTCACTGCTGTGTGCATTCGTCGAACATTGGCTTCATCACTAGAACAGAAAGGATTGAAAAAACATTACTATACATAAGGTTTATGATAAAATCATATTTTGTTAGACCAAAATACAGCTTAGTTACTACACTTGATAAATTATAGTGGAATTTATGGTATTAATATAGTAATTTATGATTTTTTGGTTATTTCAAAATTTATATGTAAAACCTAAACAAATTGTTTCGTTTCACATCTTCCATGTGCAAAATTTGATAAGGCTTAGCAATCTACAGCAAGCAGCAAATGAGTTCAAAGTTCGTAACTGGAAGAGATAATTATTTTCTATAATTCTTTATTTAATGTTCTGTTTTGAAAAAAATAACTGAATTGTAAGAACTTATTTTAAATAGTAATAATGTATATACATATATAATGAATTAAAACTGAAATGTGAATGTATTTTACAAAATACTAATCCACTAAAACTCAGCCAAGACAGGTCACTCCGTAAAGGCCAGTTTTATATTCTTGGATACATGAACTGCGTCATTGCAACTTTAAGAATGTTAGCCAAACACGGCTGAAAAGTCAATATAATAAAAATAATAAATATATATAAATGTATAATGTTATGGGATTTAAGCTATTTAGACTAAATACTTGTGCTTTCATGTTATGATTTGTAGTCATTTTAGAATGATAAAAGCATAACTTATTTCCTAATATTTTATTGAGGTTACAAAGTCAGTCAAATTGAAACAACCTGTACAGAAATACAGTAGTGAAAAAAAGATAGTTTTTTTTCTAAAAAAAATTGATAATTATCTGGAGGTTATAAAGATTTTGCATGTGAAATTTGAATATATATATATATATATAATGCATAAAAATATTTTTAATCTTAAAATCAAAAATTGGATGTTGGATAGTCTACATTCTGAAAGAAAAATGTTTATGAGAAAACCATTAATTAAAATTTCAATACTTGATTTAAAACCATGATATTTTGTGAACAAAGCCTTGTAATGTTTACCAATAAGCTGCAAAATTTTGTAAAGATATGCATACATTATTAAAAATTATATTATAATTACTCTCATGGATACTTTTGTGGTTACGAGCTGGGTGGATTCCACCAACCCTGTAAAGGAAAGGTTATATATGCATACAAATTAAAACAATTGTACAATGAAGTGCATACTAAACTTGGAATTGAAAATGTAATAAAACCAGCTGTTGTTTCTACTAGATGTTTCAGTTTGAGAGTCTGCATGTTATATACATGTGGGCTGGCCTGATGGGTCATTTGAAGAGGGTGGATGCCCTGAACAAAAGGACATCAGACATTAAAGAAATCAAAAAATCATTCCCACTAATCAACAGCAACAAAGGGTCTATGTTAAGCTTCTATTTCTGGAAGAAGAGCTTGAATCAGTTTTTAACTGCACAGAAAGAGCTGGTGCTATGCTACAGAGAATGTACCACATTACGTAAGTCAAACTTTACATTTGCTTGTAACAGAACACAGAGGTAGTACCAACATGAAAGTGCTGTGTAATTTTAGGAATGCTATTTCCTAAAGATTTTGTTTATGTGAGGCAATCCATTAAAAATTTTTTTGCAGCTCTAAGTCAAAAATGGAAAGGAATAGCTGAAACTGAAGGGAACGTGTCTACCACTGTAACAAAGCTATAGATGCAAGTCACCTCAGAGTCGTGAGTTTGACAACTATAAAAGAGTCTTTTTCCCTCGTGGAAGATGAAACAATTGAGGTTCTGCACTCAGAATTCAATTAATACAGAGCAGAACCTTCTCCAGACAATCCAGAACTCACAGCAGTAAGATTCTGGTAAGATGCCGAGGCCATGCACTCAGCAACAGCATTAATTCCACTCTGTCTTCTGGCTAATAGTGCAGCCGTAGAGCATTCTTTCAGTAAATTGCACTATATTAAATCACCAGATCACAGTAAAATGTCTGAAAGTACTTTAAACTAAACAGCAAATGATGATATACCTTAATGAACATATGTAACCAAATTAGTACAGCAAATTGTTTTTTTTTAAGTATCTTGTTTTATTAACCAACCAAAATACAACATAAACTGGTGGCAAAACCAGATTTTTTTTTCCTGAAATCTTTAATTAGTTGTAGTTAAAATTTTTCATGCTGAGAGAGTGCCCATCTGAAAATATTGGTTGGTATTTAATATGAATTTTTTTTTTAAAGACAATGCAGACAAAAAAGTCCAGTACATATTTTTCTAATGTACTTTTAACTTTTTTGTGGGACTGAGAGAGTAGACATCTGAAATACTTGGTTGTTGTTTACAAATGATTTTTTTTCAAAATACAAAATTACACCAGTACTTTCTTTGCATCCAACTTGTGACATTTTTCAGACTGAGAGAGAAGTTTGTTGTACTTTATTTGTGTTTAAGCACTTTTTTTCTTTCTGGATAAAACTTGATTTCAACCCAGATACCTTTCTTTCTTGATTATACATAAAAAAAATTCATCCAATTTCACCCCTTTTTTTAATTAAAATTATTCCACTTGATTATTAAAGATTATTGATCCAAATCCAGAAAAATAATTTCACATAAAAATTAGAATCGCTACTCATAAGGTGGTAATATGTATAAATAAATTTAATCTAAAACAAAATAACACTTTAAAACTATAAGAGAAATTTGGAACTTTAGAAACATATGCTAACAATAACAAGAGGGAATCCCCAATATCCACAGCACTTGAAAATTCTTTTAGGCAGGATTAGAGTAAATTAATTTACGAGACCTTTGTTTCCCTTTTATTAAGTGTGGGGGCACGCATATACCCAATTCAATTTTATTACTCATCAGGATCTCTACCAGCCTACCCTCAAATTGAAATTGTTTTAGGCAGGATGAAAATAAATTAATCTGAGCATGGTCATATACATCAATTGAAAGGGTTTGACCTCCTGAGTTGAAAACTGTAGTTAGATCTCAAATCAGTCAAGAGATGATAAAACTATGAGAAGTTTATACATGAAAAAAAAAAAACTACAACAACAAGTCAGGCCCATTCTATGAGCCACTCATCCGAGGCTAAAAATTTGTGGGTGCATCTGTTCTGTGTTATTGTGTGTGTTGATCACCTCTAGGAAAAAGCTATTTGTCTCTATGAAAACAATGGTGCATTTCTCACATTCAGTCACTTCAGTAGCACAGACATTGGAATCAAAGACAGTGAGAGAAGTTTCTGTACCTAGTCCTTATTTGCATTTTCCCAGTTGTTATGCAGATTCTTCTTTTATTCAATGTGCTAATTTTTTTCTTCAAAGAGTCTTCTTTACAATTTTATGTGGTTCTCTTTTTAAACTCTTTTTGCTTTGGTTACAGTTGCATTAACAATAATTGAAGAATCTATATTATTTACTGTCCATGTTTATTGTTCAAAGTTAAAAGAGTAGATAAGTGGCTATTTATCTCTAGCTTTATTCTAATATTTTCTCTCAATTTTCAATATCTTTTGCATGAACTTTCAAAACTTATATTCCTACTATGCACTAATCTTCCCTATTCAGGATTTGTACACTTTATCATGAATTCCAGGACTTTTCAAAACCCCAAAACATCATTTATTTCAGAACTTTGAGTTATATTTTTTATTAATATTTATTCATTATTCCCATTTCTTGTTATTGCATAGTATTATTTTGTTGGTTTCTAAACAGCTTAAATGATGGGGGAAACTTAGTAATACAAGCATCACATTTGTTACAGCTAAAGTACTATGATTATCTCATCTTTTACAAACCTTACAAGCTGTTAGCACTAATGTGAATAATAAATCAATGATGCTTTCCATTAGTCTACCATTTAAATACCTGATAAACTATGCCATTGCATACCCTGGAGGATCAAAACTTCTAGCATATAATAAGTCTTATGATTCAAATAAATGCAGTGACTTTCTTCTAAAATAGTGTTACGACAGCGGAAGTCACATGACGCTGGTAACATGTCATGAGTTTCTAGAATGATCATGACTGTTCCTGGCAACTAGTGTTTGCCAGATGCCCTCTATTTTTGTATATAAGCCAGGCAAATAAAGCAGGATGCCCACCATACGAAGATTTGCCTGAAAATGTGTCAGAGTTCATGAACGTGTTATCTGAAAGGATGGATGATATTCATCATCAAGTGTGTTCAAACTTGAAAATGTCTGCTGATTCCAATGAAGCTATGTTATGATAAGAGATCTACTGAAGTCAGCTTTGTACCAGGAGACAAGGTGTGGTTGTATAATCCCAGGAAGACCAAAGGGAAGTCTCCTAAGTTGTCTTCTCCATGGGAAAGCCCATATGACATAGTGGGTCGTCTCTCAGACGTGACTTTTCGAATAAAATGTGATCGGCGAGGTAAGCC